GCCACTCGCCCCGCAGCTGGGAGTGGGGTTGGGGTTGGGACCTGGACCCCCGGTGCTGTCCGGATCGGTGCTCTTGGCCTCTTTGCTCTCGTCGTCCCGAGAGGAGTCAGACTTCTTTCCCGAAGAGCCGTTCTTGGCCGCGGCCGCTGCAGCCGCTGCTGCGCGCTCCTGCTTGCGGAACTTGGCGCGGCGGTTCTGGAACCACACCTGGTCAGAGAGAAGAGAGGCGGTGAAGCACGGGGAGAAAGAAGGAAATGGGAAAGAAAAGCAGTTAGGGCAGCCCACGTTCCCGTTCAGCTTGTTTTAAACTTCACGCGCCGCAGGTACTCCCGCGCACATCCACCCCACTAAGTCAGCCTCGCCAGTGGCTGGTGCATCTTTGGAGAAACGTTCTTAGGGCGACCTGGGCATGCCCCGGAGACGGTGGCTTGCAGGAAAGCTAAAAAGGCTGCAGGTGCCAGAAAGGCCCTAAAATGGAAGTTCTTATTTTGGCGGGCCTTTGCTCGGTCTACTTCCTGAGCTGCCCCAAACTCGCCATCGCCTCAGGCCTCAGGTCTCAAATTAAACTCTAGTTGATAGACGGAGGAGGGGGTCTCTGGGTTTGGCCCCTGCTGCCCATCCTGGCCTTTGGGTGCGCACCGCCCCTCCTTTGGGGGGCTCACCTGGAGAGGCGCCCTGGCCAGCTCTTTAGAGCAGTTGGGTCTCTAAAAGGTTAGAGTAAACCGCGGATCTTGACCTTCATAGACTCCCAACCCTTTTGCGAATCTGCTGCAAGTCACAGTTCCCGGGAAAATGCACCTGTACCGATACGCCATTAGCTCCAAGTTAAAAGCTCTTGAGTTAGGAGGTACTTGGCAAAAAATACGTAAAATATATAAGTAAAATCTGCACTCCTCCCCCAGGGCATTTCCTGTCCCCGAAATGCCTCTCTCATTCATACCTCAAGGCCCCTGAATGCCTCTGCAGCGCTAGCTGAGGTGGAAAACACATGCAGCTGTGAATTTAGGGCCAAAACGCGCTCCCTAGCCCTTCCTGGCGCGCAAAAGCCACTTAGAACTTGTCTTCTCAGGAGAGGCCCGGAAATTCGCACCTTCAGTAGAATCACCCGCATCCCTGCACTGCACCCCTGCCCGGCGAGGTGCCGCAAAGCCGGGTAGGTTTCCGGGCAAGCGTACCTGGACTCGCGCCTCGGTGAGGTCGATCTTCAGGGCCAGCTCCTCCCGGGTGTAGATGTCAGGGTAGTGCGTCTCCGCGAAGACCCTCTCCAGCTCTTTCAGCTGCGCACTCGTGAAAGTGGTGCGGATGCGCCGCTGCTTGCGCTTCTCGTTGAGGCCGCCGTGATCCGTGAAGAGTTTGTAAGGAACTAGGGGACAACAGAGAAGAAAGGGTGTGAGCGAAATGGCCTGGAGCGCGCGGGCCGCGGAGCTGGCATGTGGGGACTCCAAGGTCAGGTGGCGCTGGAGCGGCCGCCGACACCGGCGCCGAAGAGTGGCCGAGAGGAGCTGGAGAGAAACCCCGAGCAAATTAGTTATACACGGAAACAGGGGCGCAAACTTCGGGCTTTGGCGGGGTCCCTCTGGACACAAGCGCCTTTGGGTAGGTTGAAATAGCGCACTGGGGACGGCTGAGGGCCGGGGACGCAGTAATGTTTTGATGAGGAAAAACGAAAGAAAGAAGTCCGAAAACATCATTCGGAATATCAGGAAGCCAGGGAAGAAGTTACTAAACACTTCCACTGTTGGAACTTTTTAATTCTCAAAAGTTGACCCGGCCCGAAAGTTGGGGAAAAGCGCTGCAAAAAAATAATAATAAATTAAAGAAATACTCTTAAAAATGACCAGCCAAAGAGGTGTGAGCCGCTGTCGGTTCTTTAAAAAGGAGACGCTGCCAGTAATGAGCTTTACTCTTTGTTATTTAATTATTTTCTAAGCTTTACGTCTCATCGCAAAGTAAATAAATTATGCCTATCATTTTGGCAGCTTAAGATAATTTTGTTGGCGGTTCGGGTGTGACTAGGATAGTGTAACCCTGTAAGTGAATTACCCCTCCCTGCAATCGCTTCTAACGTGATAAATTCTTTCATTTGTGTAAGCAAATTTCGTTTGGTAAATACTAAACACATTTCCATTTTCAAATGCAATCAAGACTTCCTATATACGAGCGGAAAGGCGGCTTCCTCCGCTGAGAAAGCTGGCGGTCCTTACCTGCGGCGTACGGACTGCTCTGGTGGTCCCTGAGGGTGCCGAGGCTGCAGGATCCCGGCGTGAGGGACGGGCAACCGGACGTGGCCCCAAAAGTGGTCCTTATCGGGTTATACTGGAAGCCACTGGCCTGGCTGCAGGAACTGAAGTCAGCATAGGCTGAAGCCAGGCTCGAGGTGTCCATCCCAGCCATACAGGACTCGTAGGCAGAGGAATTGAGGTAAGAATATTCCATTTTATACATTGAAAAGGCTCTGGATGGCTCAGCCAAGTGGAAAAATGAAATAAAAGATGGGTATGGAGAAGGTGGCTGGAGTGGGGAGATGTGCACAGCTCAACGCCTGCCTCCAAACTGGCCTCCTTACTACCAGCAGAGCCTAGTTTTATGAAAAAGCCTCCTATGAGATGCCTTGTCTGAGGTCTCTAGAGCATATAGTCCTCATAATAAACTTGGCTCTTTCCACTTGGACAATAGCAAAGCGGTTGGTCTTATTGCTGGCGCTTTTTACATGACAATAACTCATCCGTCTATTGGGCTGGCACTGGGGAACTGAGCTGTCCAACCTCCCTATCATTGATTCCTGCATCTCTAATTAGAATTTAATACCACACCATTACGCACTGAGCCCCTGATCCTCCCTTCTAACCAGCTCCCTGCCCTTTAATTCAATCACACTACTTGGAAATAATGAAAGTTGGGTGACGATTCTCCCTGATCCAATTTCCCCGAGCTTTTAAGCCTTTTTAACTGATCATATACCTTAGGCATAAATTGAGATAGTGTGTGTATTTCCCTCCTTCTTCCTTCTCCCTCTCTCTCTCTCTCTCTGTCTCTCTTTCTTGGTTAGGGAGAAGAAACCTTGATGTCATAGAAAACCTGTTTTGTAAGAGCGTTACACGCTCAATTTAACAACAAGCCTACCCCCCGAAGTGCATGAAATGTTATAAAGGACTGGGACATTGGCAAGACTCAGGCGCCCTGTAACATGGAGTAAGTGGGCCAAGGGGGTTTATGAGAACGATAAGCGGATTTCTTTAAAATACACCTGGTAGAGGGGATTTTTTAAAAAGCATCTTATAAATTGCATTTCTTGTCGCGGCTTAATGTGCTTTTCTAGAGACTCCGCTTACACAGCCATTTAGAAAATACAAGAACATCCGAGTAAAGCTCTTGAATGTAAAACATCTGGATCCTCAACCCATGGCTTCTTTGCGCTATGTTCCGTTTTTTTCTGCATTGGCGCGAGATTTGCATTTTGTTGGTTTGTGTGGTTGTTGGTTTTAATTGCACTGCTTAACTGGCAAGTAGGCATGAAGTGTCCCCGACTGTGTCTCCTCTTCCCTCCCTCTCCTGCGCTCTCCCTCTTTTTTCACCTCCGCTTTTTTCAGGTGCCCACAGTTCCCTAAAGACCGGAAGCTTCAGAAAGAGGATTGCTGTCTGCTGCCGTTTAGGTTTGCTGACTGCAGCGAGCGAAATCCTTGCTCTTTAAATGCCCAGGCTCCAGGTCGGGGACTTTTCTTGTCCAACTCCCCAGGCTCTTGGGTGCTGGCAGCGAGGCACAGACAAAGAAATGAGCCATGATTTGTGGACCTCGGTGGCCCCATGATTTAAGCAGAGGGTAATTTTCATTTGGTTCGTTACGCTGTAGCAGAATAAGGGAAACTATTTCATTAAATCCTTCCTCTCGGTGGACAAGAGGAGGAATGCTTAGTCGAATCGCCGTGTGGTGTAAACAAACCCTGGATATTTTATATGAATTAAATGTGTAGATAATTAGTTTTATTGCATTCATTACCCCCTTTATGTGCTCTGTAACAAGTCAGTAATTAAAGTAACAAACTCATAAAGTCTTTATAGGGGCATTTAGGCGTTCAGTGTTTGCCAAACTAAGTGGTTTAATTCGATGCTAGTGCCGGGGAGTGGATGGGCGCCCGCTCTCCACTGCCACTGTGTTTTATTGCGCACTAAACTGCAGCGGACGCGGTAATGGATTAAACAGGGACAGCGGCCCCCCAGCCTCGTGCTTCTCTGCGGGGTGAGTTTCAGGCTGGTTTCAGGTGATGGCGCGTCCTTTGCACGTGAGGAAGCACTAAAGTGCAGGCAGCCGGACTCGCGGAGGAGCCTGGTGATAGTTTTATGGGGAGGGCTGATAGTTTTATTGCAGTTGTATGTTGTACAATGCGTATTTGATAAAGAAGGGCCCTTGGCGACCAGTGTGCACTTTTTTGTGCACGGGGGTGAAATGAAAATAAATGTGTACAAGGTTTTACTGCGGCGGGAAACAAATTGCAACGCTCTAAATGGTTTTTCTTTATGGTCACCAGACAAGAGGAGAAAAGAGATGCAAACATCTGTCTTCAGTCCCCTATACCTAAAGGCCAGCAAAGACGGATGAGAATCCAAGTGTTATTACAGTGGGGATTTGTCTTTATTTATCCTGCTCTCATGAATATGAATCTGCATTTGGACCGGGAGGTAGTTGTGCCCCTTTGGATGCTACACATAGACTTTCCCCACCTTGACTTATCCCCACCCTTAAGGGAGGTGGGGGACAGATTGTCAAGCACAAGGCTGCAATTGTCCAAGTTGCTCGAATCCCTCGGACTTTTCAGAGGTGCTTTCTGGCTCTCCTAACGCGACCCCGTTGCTCCAGGCCCACATTCGAGGGATGCGGATGCCGGGAGCACAGGCCGCTAGCCCGCTCCTCCCGCTTACGTGGAGTTTAAGCGTTTTTCTTTGCAGAAGAGTGTGACATGGAGGGGATGCATTCTGGCTTTAAGACTCACGCTTGGCAATAACCAGGCTCACACCCATCTTGGCGCCCTCGCCTGGGTGCACGCGAGGTTGTATCTCTGCTGGGTAAAGAGCGCGCGCGCTCCGCCCAGGAAGCTCGATCCTAGCCCCGCGTCGCTGCTCCGCGCCCGGGCCCGGCCCTAAGCCAGATCCGAGTATGGGGCAATTGCTCTTTGGGTCCTAATTTGCAGACAGTCTCCAGGTCCCATGGGGGAGGAGACGGACCGCGAACCTGGAGTGTGCTGGGAGCGCGGAGGAGCAGGGTTTATCTTGGCAGCTTTTGAGGAGGGCTCCTCGGTGAAGGTGTTGAACATTGGGATTCAGTCGGTGCCTGGAGGCAATTCTTGTGCCCAGTGGCGCTTGGCGTGGGGAGTACGGTGTGCAGCTCAGGGGAGCTGGGTGTTGAACAGGCGTGGGAGGTGGTGACCCGAGGAGAAGCCGAGGAGCAAGGGGAGGACTGCTGAGAGGTGAGGGCTAGGGAAGTGCGAGGCCGCAGGGGGCGCCCGAGGGAACCGGCAAGGGGCCGGCCTATACGCTGCCAGCGTAGGGCACTGCCTCGCGCTCTCCGCGGTCCCACAGCCCGCCCGGGGCCCGGTCTCTCCCCGCCCTGCGATCTCGGGTTCCCACCGGCCTCGACTACCCGCTTCCTCTGACCACGGCGCCATCCGTCTCCCAGGTGCCCGGCTGGACCCCGGCCTCTCTCCAGGCGCCCCCTGGTGCCTGGCCTCGCCGAGTCGGGGTGACGTGCGCCTCCTTCTCTTGGTACCGGGAGACCTTTCAGCGCCGGACCGCATGGTCCGATGAACAAATGCGCTTGACTTCATTTTACCCTTTGTAGGCCTTGTAGGTTTATTTTGTTCGGTGTCACTGTCCCTCTCTTCACCCCACCCCCCACCATCCCTGGCCCATCGTGTCCGCCGGTCTTTTGTGGCTCGAGGTCCTGCTTCTGCTCCGAAGATGAAAGGCGTGCCGGGCTGGGCCAGGCCGGAGCCCCAGCCCCAGCGCCCTGTTTTGTTCCAGTTGTGCTTTCTACACGCGAGCTCTCCCCTAAAAGTTGTACCAAATGGTTAATTTAATTATTCCAACTATAGACCAACTGCTTCAGCAGCCTCCACCACGCGTCTGGGAGGAAAAAAGAAACCATCTATAAGAAATAATCTAATAAAAGTGAAGTGTAGAAAAACCCCTCCTGATTTTCAACCGGCACAAATAGAATTAGAGCTTCAGCATCCTTTTCCCAAACAGACCTTTTGTCCAGATCACAACTTCAGCCAACCAGCAATGTGTACAGTGCCCACTATTTATTTTAATAGAGGCGGTGGGTAGCGAGATGGATTGATAGATAAATGGCCACATGGATAGATGGATGGTTTGATCCATCTTCCTCTGACTTCTCTTTCTTAATATGTGTACACGGCTGATTTTTTTCCCTGCTGATTTTCTGAATCAATAATGGAGAAGCAATGCTATGTGGTAAAGGGGTGGGGGGAGGCCATTTAAAGCACAAAAAGGGGAAGAGACTACCAGCATATATACCATGAGAAAAAAAGATGTTTACATGCTACCCTGTACCAAATGAAAAAGGTTGAAAGTTTAAAAGAAACTTTTCTTTCCTTTTCTTTGCCATTCATAGGAGGGTTTCTTTTTCTTCTTTTTTCCCTTGAAAGTCAGAAAGAATGTTAGAAGACAAGGAAACAAAACAGCAAACAAAATGCCATTGTATTGTAGTAGCAATTCATGGGAAAATGCTTGTCAGCCTCCTAATGCCTCACTCCTAGGAGGCTGTTTTACCACAGGCGAAGCACAATAACATGGGAATGAATAAAATATTAAATACCAGTGAGAGTTTCAGAGGAATTTTCTTTTTCATTGCTTTATTTGATGCTGCATCCGAATTATCCCAGCACAGCAAGACCACTGCTTGCCAAAGGCTCAACTCAGAACCAACAGCTCTCTCAACTAGAGAACTAAAAGACAAATTTGTCCTTAAGTTTCTCCAAAAAGATTTCTGCAGGCAGCAGTCTTTCGCATTCACCTGCACTTAAAAAAATAACCTAGATGGGATTTATTGAGACACTATTTCCCCAGAACATAAAGGAAGCCAGTCACAGCATCCCCAAGCATGAAGATCCACTGATACAGACATTCTCCTAGCATTTTAGAATTTTTACCACGTTTTCCATTTGCCTAGCAGCCATAATACACAGGTTTCATATTAGAAACTTTCTGTGTTTCTGGTAACTAAACCTGGCACTGTGAGACAATTATTAACTGATTGACAATAGTGTATGCAAAGTAATTAACACAGTGCTTGGCACCTGGAAAGAATTCAGTGAATTTTAGCCACCAGACCAGTATTGTGATAATGATGATGGTGGTGGTGGTGGTGGTAGAGTCTCCTTGAATTGCATGTTAAATACTTGACTTTGGAATTTAGATGGTGCATGGACAATGTCTTTTCTGTTGCATATTTATAATGCATGTGGAAGAGGGTGGACAAATCAGAAAGCATGCTCTAAAACAACAAATGGGAGAAAATAAAGCAATCAGGCAGAAAACTTCCATCTTTTAAGAGTTCACCAGATGGCCTGTATGTATAAAAGTTAACTATGTGTTTTGTCTTACATTATGCACAGTACATACGCATGATTAAGGTGGTACTTTACTCTTGTATGTAAATATTGTATATTCAGGGTCGTTTCACTTTAAAAAGGTACTTGCCCTGGGTTAGCTGTGTGAGTTTGGG